CTAATTAGTGAGGGGCGGGGGCCATTAATACAACTAGTAAGGAATCCACGTTTTTTAACCATTTTATTGGGACTACTCAAGTAATGAAAGAAGTGGAATCGGTAGCTTCCGGATCGCTAAAAGCTTGCTTTTGGGAACTGTGTCCCGAACTTCCTTTAAAGCCACACTTAGTTAATAAACAAATGTTCACCATCTGACTCGAGTTTAAAGTTCTGGTCTTGATTTGTTCTAAACGAATTAATCGTTGAGCAGAAAGATTAAGGAGAGCTTTTTAGCCAGTTGAACATCATTGAAATCTGTCTATAGCTAAATATCTAACCCCATTGGAAATCGACAAGTCGAGCTTCGCCCAATACGTCCAGTGCTTCCTCTTTGGTTATTGTGTCATCTTGCGGCCCTGCAACACACTTTGATGCATCAAAGTGTCCCCCTCGGCTCTTACCTTAATTTGTGTAGCAAAAGCAAGCACAGTCGAAGAATGTTGTTCTCTCAAGTGCTGGGTTTTGCGAAGCTTGGTTTGGTTGGCTGATTTTTCAAACGAGCCTCGTCGAAGTTCGCAAACAAATGGTATGACTATATCTAGCCATGCCTGATTTGCCTTGAGTGCATACAATTTTTATGAAACGATTCGAACTCAGTCCTTTGAATGATGATAAACAGCTCTCGGCGAGTAAGAGAAACGGTTGTTCTGTTTAAAATTAATTTTAAATAAGTTAATCTTTGTATTGCTTCACTTCTTATTATAAAGAAATTACATTTGGACTTGAATTCATTGATTGAAACGCTGAAACAGCTGATTAGTATTACAACTAAGGATTCCTTTTGTAAGTGCGCGCCAAAAACAAGGGCTGACGGTATTTAAAAAATCGAAAAAAATTTTGTTAAATGAAAGATGATATTCTCAGAAGAGGCACAAAAGGGCAGGCTAGTTCTTTAACATTTTGTATTTAAATATCAAAAGTTGTTTTAAAATAAATTTTAAGTGCGGGCTATGCCTGGAACACTACACACAGTTTAACAATATCCAAAATAAAATCATGATTTTGTTAACTATTAAAAAAAAACAAGGAAGAACGCTTTAGTCGAGTACGTCGACTATCAGATACCCGTTTGTCAGCCTAAGGGACCAAACGGAAATGCAGATATGCAAGTAGCAAAGCGAGATTAAATTCGCCATCTACCGGCGGTAGACAGATTTAAGCGTAATGGGCGTTAGAGTGATCTTGGCAAATTTTTTTTGATCAATCGATAGGTATTGACAAGAGCAATACATTTCAGATAAAATTTTGTATCTAGCATAAAAATTATGGCGTCACAGGCTTGGGGGGTTTGTGGGCGTTATAGTGAGCGTGGCAAACTTTTTTTTGGGCAAATCGATAGGTTTTGATGAGAACAATACATTTCAGTTAAAATTTTTATTCTAACATCAAAACTGTAGGAGCCACAGTTTTGGGCGGCTTGTGGGCGTTAGAGTGGGCGTGGCACATTGCTGAAACAAACTTGCGCTGCGTAAAAAGCTCAGGAATCTGCACGCCAGATCTCAATAGCTAGCTCTTATAGTTTCCGAGATCTCTGCGTTCATCATTTAACTGAAATGTATTGGTCTCGTCAATACCTATCGATTGATCCACAAAAAAAATTTGCCACGATCACTCTAACGCCCATTACGCTTAACTCAGTCTACCGCCGGTAGGTGGCGCATTTTAATCTCGCTTTGATGCTTGCATATCTCCATTTCCCTTTGGTCCCTTTTGCTGAGTAACGGGTATCTGATAGTCGGGGTCCTCGACTCCTTGTTCCTTTTGATTTGTATGCAGAATTAAGTTGTTTCTTTAAAAAATTTGAAAATTAAAAAAAAACATTTTGTCAGGGTTTTTCTTTTAGTCGCTCCATCGTGTGACGTAAATCACAAATAATTTAATTTTTGCATAAGTTTCAAGACCTGGGTCACATGAGTATGATTGATTAACCCTAACTCGACGAAGCTCTTTTCTACACACCGTATAATTGCGTACTTATACTAAATAGTACGTCGACATAGCCTTCTGTAGTATTCGAAATATTTATTCAAGTTCGCAAAAATGTCTCAAATATTTACTATAAGTAGGTTCAACTATACAACCTGATCATTACAGACTTAACCTTCAGTTTCGCGTACATCGTTACACCATTGTTGCTTACTTCGTACTTTTAACTCAACACTAAGCCACAAAATCATCGTTTTATGTAGACGGCTTTCTATCCGGTGCCGGTACCGTGAAATCATTGGTTTAAATGAAGCAGTAAATCTATACAATTTTTAAAAAGGGACACTTTCATCTGGCAAAATAAAATTCCAGCCACAAGGACTTATCGACGTACCACTGTAAAAGATATAAACTTGGGGGACGATTCACTTACCAGCACCCTGGGCTTAAAACGGTACTAACGAAGAATTGTACTCTTTTTCTCTGTTCTTCCTCAGAAAAACTCGGATATAGTTTCCAAACGCACTATCATGTCGGTCGCATCTTCATTGTTTGTCCCATTAAGCTTAGTAATGCCAGTCGTTATCGTCGCAAAAATTATACTTCAAAAGTTAGGGGCCACTAGCAAAACATAAGTAAAAATGTGAGCGTAAAAATAGTAAGCTACCATTTCTTGATACATGATACATTGCTGCTGGCGTGTACCGATGAGTGAAATATCGATAAGAGTTTACAAAATTATTAATAAAAACCTTGATTTAAGTATAACGCATTTTTAATAAAAAATATTATTTAAAAATTGACTGACAAATAATGTATGAACACAAGGTTATTGATACCTTTCCAAATAAACATTCAACCCACCGCGACAGTATCGACATTTGTAGTTAATCGCATTTTGTAGGTCCAAGATGAAACAAGGACTTTTCCTACGCAACTCAAAAGTGCACATTTTATCTTGAGAGGCTGTACTGTGGTGGTGCCAAAGGCGATGGTTCGACGGACCCGAATTTCTACGGTTGGATCAAACTCAGTGGATAGCAAACAAGTATGAGGAGCCTGATGAAGAGGTTGAAAAAAATGGAAAACAGCATTCGCAATATCAACCATTTAAAACTATCTTCTGGAAGGTGTATACGATCAGCAGTCATAGCCGCTGCCTATCAGTAGTCGCCTGGATGCAATGATTCATCATCACTGTCACTATTGCTTGGAATCTACAAACAAATAATTTCACCGAGGAATTTAATCTGCTGCAAAGGGGCAAACATATTCGAAGGAATTTAAAAAATCTTGGTCTCTTTTTACTGACCAAAGTAGGCAGTCATTGAGAGCACGCCAATGTTCCAAGAACATCAAATCTTAATTTTAAGCAAGAACACTTTGTAGACCACTATATGCGTTACATCCATCTAAAAATCTTCCATGCAGGCCCAAAGACGCTTGTCGGCCTAACCAGATTACAGTTTTGGATTGTCAATGCTCGACGAGTTCCGGTTTTACTCAACCAAATCATGGGTCAACTTCCCAAGGTTCGGCTTATCCCTCCGAAACCATTCTTAAGATGCCGAGTTTATTCTGAACTCTAGTCCGCTATGTCCACTTTCTTTGGCTTCAAAAGACCTCATCATCACCCTGGGCCTGTACTACTTGATCTGCCAGAGACAGACATTAAGATTGAGAATCTGGAGCTTTGGCGACAAGCCTGTGTCATTAAGGATTAAGTCTGTCGTCGCTGGTCGCTGGAACACATTCAAGAACTGCAACTATGAAGCAACAGCAAATATTTCCTTTGGTGACATGGTTATAATACATGAAGCCATTATGCCACCACAACGATGTAATCTAGGTCGGGTCATACCGGGAAAAGACAACAGGGTGCGTGTCGGCAATATTCGTAGCGACAAGTTAGTTTGCCGACGACCCATACCAATCACAAGTTTGAACTCTTGTTAGTTCTTGGAAGTCATATATTACTTTCAATGGGCCCGAAACATTGGGGACTTACCATACAAATTTTTTTAAACCAGTTATACTTTCAAATATCGCGCTATAACTTCTATTAAAATTACATATGTTATTCCAATCAGCTGTAATATGGTACTTTTAACATAAAAATTCAGGGGAGCTTTTAATCATTCTCTGATGTTATTTTTACTGATTTCAGTGAAATTTTCGATCACAAGTAAATGGATCATAGATTTTAAAAGATCAATCTCTAACCATGTTCTCGTGACCTTTGGTGTTCCCCAAGGGAGCTACCTAGGACATCTTCTCTTTGCAATCTTCATAAATGACTCGCTCAATTAGTTCTTTCTTCTCTTGCTCTCTGCATTCTTTGTGCATTACAAATTTTTTGTTCTTGAATAACTCTACATATAGCTTCATGTCCTTTTATCGGAAGATCTTTTCTTTATTAGGGATTCTATCAGGACGAGTGATCGTGAACGTATCAATTCCGTAACTCAAACTTCACTGATCATATTGGCATTATAGTTAGTAAAGCAAAAAAGGTTTTGGCATTTGTAAAACTTTGGCCAGAGGAATTTGAGTACACTACGAAACACGAATAAATTTATCTGGTTCGTCCAATATTTGAATATACGCTTAAAATTCGGACTTTATCGAATAGGTACAGAAACAGTTTATTTTTGTTTTACGTAGATTAAACAGGGAAACCATCTTATCTCGATAGACTGCGTCTATTGAGCCCAACCACGCTTAAGGTTCGTCGGACCTACAAAGGTGTTATGTTCCTTCACAAATTAATTACTGGAAAAATAAATTAAAGTTAAACTTTGTCAAATACGGTTTTCCATACCTGTTGGGTAAACACGTCACTTAAAGCGTATTGCCCTCGAAATTTTTTGTATTTAATTTTCAGTGTGCTTTGCTCGTAATATACCTCTACGAACTTGAATGTTAGTCGAAGCACATCTATATAGAACAACTCCTTAAAATTTAAATTCTTTCTTACTCCTTATATATTTTAAATATGAAAGAGCTTTGAATAACAGATAACCTTGGTTTCAGAGGCCACAATATTACCTTCATAAGTGGATTTCCTGCTGATTTTAATATTGAAGGTCTGGAGGAGGTAGCACCAGCTGGACTTGTTGAATATATTCACAACTATACCAATTGGGATCTATTAGGTGCACGAATGGCTGGAGAAATGCCTATTAAGCCGTGGGACGGATTGCGATACGCGTTTGAAGTAAGTTTAATTTTAAATTGTTTTTTTACCCATATAAACAGAAATCTCCTCCAACTATATTTGCCTTAAAGGAAATCTTGATTTTTCCCATACTTTAAAAGGTTTAATTAGATATACTTCTAACAGATATTCGCCAACAATAAAGCATTTTTTAAGAGAACACCAATTTAATTCCTTACGATTTATATATTGAAAGACGATAAATTAAGGGGATATGCCCACAGCCAAAACCGTAAAAGCTACAGCAGCCACATTTTTGCACAACATTTTATTGAATACTAGGTTTTCACAACAGTCGCTATGTCTACCAGTGCCAAAAACATCTCGAAAAAGGGTTGAAGGAGCAAAATTAAGTTTAAGATAAGAGGTTAAGATTATTACAGTTTTCGTAAATTCAAAACAAGAAAAGACACAATAGTCGATGCCATCGACTATCAAACACCCGTCACTCAGTTAAGGAGAGTGCAAGAGAGATGGAGATATTCCAGCAGCAAAGCGACTGTCGCCAAGATTTAATTTTTGAATTGCCTATAACTTTTAAATGAATGTTCCGATTTGAAAATTTTGGGATATTAATAATTAACACAAAGTCTTATACCGTCTTTTAACCGATATCAACAAAAATGTAGTAGCGTTATGGGAGTTTGTGGGCGTGAGAGTGGGCGCGGCACCCTGCTGAGATAATCTTGCGCTGCCCAAGAAGCTCAAGAATCTATATAACATAATATAATTTCCGAGACCTCAGCGTTCATATGGACGGACGGACAGACCAAAACTCGGACATGGCTAGATCGAGAGATCCTGATCAAGAATCTATATACTTTACAGGGTCGGAAACCACCTGTTACATACTTTCCGACGAATCTAATATATGCTTTTACTCTGCGAGCACAATTACATGTTTTAAAAAGGGGAATCATTTGGGACCCTTACTGGCAGTCGCTATGTCTGTTAGTGCCATAAACAGCTCATAAAAAGGATTTAAAAATAAAATAAAGATTTTTTGTAATCATATTTTTTTAAATTTAAAATTACATATTTTGAAAGGGAAGAGTGATAAATCGAATTGATTTTGTATGTTTCAAATCATTGGGATGCAAAACTTAAAGGAATCTTTTTGGTTTAATCAGTACTTAGTTAATTAAATTCAGCTTGTTAACAAAACGGTCGATTTACACAGGAACACAAAATCGGACAGGTTCCGCGAAATCGCAAGGAGTGCAAAAAACCGATGTTGGCCCACTTATTGAGTTATGTGACCAACATAATTAAATTATATAAAATATTTTTGACGATCATACTCTTAATACAAGAGGATATTACTAAACAAGGAAGAAGGCTATAGTCGAGTATCCGACTATCAGATACCCGTTACTCAGCTAAAGGGACCAACGGGAAATGGAGATGTGCAAGCAGCAAAGCGACATTGAAATGCGCCACCTACCCGCAATCTCAATAAATGGTTTTGTGGGCGGTAGACAGATTTACGCGTTATGGGCGTTAGAGTGGGCGGGGCACCCTGCTGAAACAAACTTGCGCTGCGTAAAAAGCTCAGGAATCTACATACCAAATCCCAATTTTCTAGCTTTTGTAGTTGCCGAGATCTCAGCCTTCATCCGGACGGATGGACATACGGACATGTCTAGGTCAACTCGTCTAGTGATCCTGATCAAGAATAAATATACTTTATGGGGTTGGAAAGGCTTCCTTCTACCTGTTACATACTTTCCGACGAATCTAGTATACCCTTTTACTCCACGAGTAACGGGTATAAAAATAACTCCCACTTTAAGGGGTTATATACGTTCTTTGTCAAAGAAAAAGAGGAAAGTTTGGATTCTTTTAGGTATGTAGCAATTATTTCATTACACGAATGTTTTAATTTTTTGATAGTACACTTTATTAACAATGTTTGTGCAAAATTTCGTGGTAATATGTTAAATAGTTTTTGAGGGGTGGCTGTTTCCCTAAGAGGCCTTTTTTTTAAGAGCCTCGCGGTGATACTTCCCCAGGTCGAAAAGGTCAACTGAAACCATAAAAGTATACAAATTTCATTAGTTCAGTGTAATTCCTTGTGCTTGAAAGATCCTTTTTAAGATTTTTTTTTTGTGCATACGGGAACGTTTTATGCTAAAAATGAACTTTTTGGTCGCTAGAAATTTCGCTAAAAAATTCATTTCGGCGAAAAAAAAGTTTGTGCGATCGTTCAAGCACAGAAAAATTTCATTACGAACATTTAAAAAAAAATTTGAAGTAAATCGGTTAGATAGAGATATTCGCGTTTAAAGTTTCAAGTTCAGTTCAAGGGCCGCGACGAGGCGTGCGGTTAGGAAAAAATTTTTTTCTACTGCTCGACTCTCTATGAAAATTTGGGAAAATGTTCTTAGAGAGTTGTTCTTTAAGATAAAGCAATACAAAAATTTTTGAATTTTTGAAAATAAAAAAGGTATATAACCCCTTAAGCCATGTTCAAAATTCCTTAATTATTAATAATTTCTCTAATAGAAAACCATCGTTAAGAAATAAATCCTAAAGGGAAGTAATTATACCTGTATATATATTCTTGATCAGGATCTCTAGCTGAGTCAATCTAGCCATGTCCGTCTGTCTGTCTGTCCGTATGAACGCTGAGATCTCGGAAAGTATAAAAGCTAGAGTGTTGGGAATTGACATGTAGATTTTTGGGCCTTCTGCGCAGCGCATGTTTGTTTGAGAAGGGTGCCACGCACACTTTAACGCCCACAAACTATAAAACTAAAACCCGTATAGCGCACATATATTTCAAAATATTTTATAAGTTTAAATGAGCGTTTGGTTTTATAATAAATACTTATCTAAATGCCAAAAACTATTGAAATTCGACCAGTCATTGAAAAGTTATAACCAAATAATAATCAAATAAGCTGTTTTCACTAATACACCACCAAGTCAAAACCGAAGTGTTGTTTTTGTGAGAAAATTGCTTATACCAAGCGTGCTTGAATTAGAGACGACCTTGCTAAGGGTCATAACTTTTTATATGGTATGGATGAATATGGATCAATTGCACTCTGGATCGTCTGCCATTGACTCACGAATTCATCCTTCCTTAAATAACCTGGCACCTTCATTGAATACTGAGCCGATACCACCAGAACAAGTTGGCACGGCTTCCGATTTGTTGGACTATATATTACATTTGAGGGAGTGATTTGGCGGAGTTCATGTTGTTCTTAAATCATCGGCTCGAGCGGAAATATCAAAGCGCGCCTCGCAATTGCTTTCGCACTCAACATTGTGGTACTACACAGAGAAAAACAAGGGAGAAAAACCGCAAAACTCGACTATAGCGTTCTTCCTTGTTTTATTTTAATATGTTATATTTTTCCATATCAAATTTATAATTTTTCATAAGAAACTTATATTTTATCATATAAATTTGATTTTTTAATCATTTTAACACGTTATGTTTTTCTATATTAAACTGGTATTCTTTCATATCAAACTGATATTTTGTCAAATCATTTCGACACTTAACTCATACCCAGCTTTATATTAAAATCATTTTATTGAGAGAATTTATTGTCGTTCAAAGTCTTATGTTACATATAAAAAATAATTGTAACTTAAAATTACTTATCATAATTAAATAAACTAAAATATTTTTCTTCTTATCATTTTAAGACCAGTTGGTGTGTAATATACATGAATTGGTGGGCCTTCAGACATCAATGTGCTAAAATTTGAAATTATTACAACCTATTATGAAAATATTAAAAATTAAACTTACTTGTGCTCGCTTCCATTTTTGGAGCTTCTCGCGGAACTCGGATTTTAGACCAAGATGTTCTCTCTTGGAAAATATTAAATCAAGATCTGAAGCACTAGTTGATTTATAAAAACCTAAAGGCAGGTCCAGCACAACCAAATCGACCTCGTGGTCCGTAAGGAATTGAAGCAAAAGTGGATCCTCCATGGTACTTCGACAAACTAATGCACAAATAAAGTAATTTAGTTAAAATTATACATACTTACCAAGTAATTACATTTATAAACACCTTAAACTTTTCTTTTGTCACGTTTTACACTGAAATTGACGCAGTAAATAAAAGTGGGACCACCGCATACAAAGCGTAATTATACCGTTGTACACAGAATATACACAAAAAGGACGAATTTACAGTCATACTATTTTTTCGAAGACTTTTCGATGTTACGTTTGATATGAAATCTTATCAACTTGCTAAGTATTCATATCATTATGATACGGATTCATATTAACATTTGAAGTTGATATGATTTCGTATCATATTGATATGAATTCGAATCATTTTGATATGAAAAAATTGATATGTGAAAATTGAGGAGACAATATCAAACGGGTATTGTTCCGTTTTTTTCTCTGTGTAGTTTTATTTTGTGTTAACTACGATCATAGATAACCATCCTGAGCTTACCAACACAGAAATGCCACAACATCTACGATCGTGTCTAAGGGACTCTGTCTTGGATACCATTCGCTCGCAGGAAATTTCGGTTGGCAACTATGCTATTGCTTTAGATTTGTTGCAAAACAGATTTGATACCCGTCGTTTGGTTTTTCAGGCATACATTACTGAGATCCTGGGGCTAAAGGCGGTGTAAAATGGTTCCGTTTCGATGCTCCGTGATCTGTCGGACAAATTCAACGCTCACATAAGCGCTGGGACTGGACACAACAAAACAAATTGCAGGATGCATCATCGTCCAAATACTGCTCAAACGCTGCATCCAGAGAATCAGGCAAAGTGGGAAGAGCATCCGGAAGGCCCTGCTTTCGTCAATTCAATTCCGAAGTGGGAGTCCTAGGCATCCTTTCTAGAGCAGCTATGCCGGACGTTGGAGACTATGGATTTTGACATGGCTAACTATGCTCCGATTTTTCGATACGCGTAGATGTGCATTTGTTGCCACATAACAAAACCCTTGAATCTATCACTCTTTTTAACATTGTCCGAATTTTAAGAACCTTACTCCCACGA